TTTTATTTTTTGTGTGAAAGCAGATGATCAATAATCGTGCATTATTATGAATGAAATATATGGATTATGTTTTATAAATTTGTACTTATGTTAAAAACTTGGTTGAAGTTATTGATTGTTAATTTATGTGAATATTATGTAATATATGTATTAGGTTTAGAACAACAAATCTATTTTGAGTTCTATACGAACTCAACCCGAATTAAACCCATAAAGTAATCCAAAATTAACCAGAAATCATTAACTCGAATTCAACTCGAGCCCGCCCAAATTAAGCTCAGGCAGTGCTCGAGTTGAGTTCCTCAACCTGAGGTAGGATTAGGGTTAGAGTTAAAAATTATATACTTAGGGTTAGGTTAAGGTTAATTGTCCAATCTGCCCGAGTTGCACCCCTGGTGATGGATGTGGTGGGTTGCGATGACCGTGGTAGTAATGACAGTTGTGGGTGGCAACGGTGATGGTGGTGAATTTTGGGTGATGATGGTGGTAGTAATAGCCATGAGTGACCATGGTGATGGTGGCAGGTGTGGGTAATGGTAAGCGATGGTGATGGTGGTTGTCAGTGGCGGTGGGGGGGGGAGGGCGGTGGTGGGGGGGGGGGGGGGGGGGCAGGGGCGGGAACTTACTTGGCCCTGATATGAAGAATGGGTCAGATTATTACCCGATTATAAATGAGTTTTGTCTTGGCTAAATTTTAGTATTATATAACTTACACACGATATAGTCATTGTCTGATAGAATCTCGTTGCATGCAAAAGTAAGATCGCGTATATTTGACTTTCTCTGAATTCTATAATAAATAGATTCTCTTATGTTAAATGATTTAAACTCGACATAACATGTTATCAACCCTAATACAATAGAGTAATAACAAGTATGTAAGTAAGGAGCCTGGCTCTCCAAAATAAGTTCCGATAATATTGATCAAAGATTGATTGGTTAACTAAACAATATAGATGATGGAAATGCCATTAGCATCATGATAATCAACTTGTCATGGTACTGAAAACTAGAATCCTTATCCTCATGTCATTTTTTTCCCGTCCTTGGAAGGTTGAGAGGCATATGTGTTTAGTTTGATCTATTTCTTTATCTTCGTATGAATCGTATGCTTGTAATAATAGAGACAAAATTTTCTCAATTCGAATCGATTAGATGTATTGTACCGAATCTTTTGAGTAATATATTTGGAAATGTCAGTTGATCCCTTATTAACATTGTTTTGGACACAACTTGTACATTCTAAAATAACTGTTACTCGGATATTTTTATACTTTGCCATGAACCTGATCTTTTGGATTTTTGATATAATATAAGATCTAGCAATCCTTAACACAATCAACCAATAGAAAATCGACATAGAACTATTGAGCATGAGTTTTGGTCTTCATTATTTGAGTTATAATTGAGTGAGTTGGTCTGATCCATCTAATGAATAGATCGACACAATTCTGATTATCTATTAAATTAACTCATCTATATCAGACACACGAATTCAAATGTATATTATTATAATGAGTTGGATAGATAGGATCACATTGATTTTAATACAACACCGAATACATACAATACAAACCCGACATGACACGGGTCATTAATTTCCAGAGTAGATGCTGTCATTGATTTTGTTACATAGATAGCATGAGTATATGATCTTACATAGAGTGACGTGGGTATTGGAAACTTTTGCAAAGAGAGAAAGATTACGCGTCAAATATATAGAGCAAATAGCAGTCACAATTCTTACCTAATGAAGAGTTAAAAAGATGAAGCTCTTCCTTTGGTATACGTTGTTGAGGACACGCGGCTAAAGTGCAATTTGTTTTGCTATACCACAAAGTTGTGCTCCCTAAAGTTTTGTAACAAACCATATAATATAAATAGCTATTATTAAAGTTGCATATACACCAAATTATATAATATATATTTAGATAGATAGCTTAAAATATTTGATTCAACCGGGCCATGCAAGGCTCCACAGGTGTCGATTTTTTCTTTTTGGACATCCCATTCTGCACTGTAGTACGAGCGACAAGTTAGGGTTTTACATTCATTAATCTTGTTGACCTTAAATGTGTTCAATAGTTATCTTACACGTTTTCCTCCCACTAAACATAAATTTCAAACTAGTTGATTAATAGCCAACGTTGTCAATGCCGGGATCATAGAGGCAAGGTGATTGTTGCTAAATAAATAATTGAAGAAAAGTAAGGAATTACATAAGCAAGCAAAGATGAAAACCATAGTAAAGCATTAGCATTAAGATCAGCTTGATAATGGAAAGGTTTATTGTACAAATGGTATCCTCCCCAATGTTTTACTATCAGCTTAAAAAGTTGCCGATCGTAATCGATATTGAAACTTATAATTAAACATTGAGACTCTTATATATTTGCTTATCATTTCTATTTTAGGATGGTAACTTGGACCGAGGGTTCAGCTATTCGGTCACGGAGTGATCATAAGTTAACTAGTCTTCGGTGCCGGAGACCAAGACCATCTCACGGCACAACCACAATGCTCTGAAAAACAGCACCGCTTTCAAATTCACCCTCTCCACCACCATATCCGGCGGCGCGTGAACTCAATTGCTCACTCGCCTCCTATCCNAAATTCACCCTCTCCACCACCATATCCGGCGGCGCGTGAACTCAATTGCTCACTCGCCTCCTATCCCCTCCAATAGTTTAAAATCAGGCGCATGTTCAGAAACCCTCCATANCGCCTCCTATCCCCTCCAATAGTTTAAAATCAGGCGCATGTTCAGAAACCCTCCATACCTTCACAGACTTGTCCAAACTCCCACTGTACACTATCCACCGTTGATCATGATGATCCTCCTGAATGGCCAAACACTTCACGGGCCCACCATGCCCCGTCAGCACTGAGACGCACATATGGACCCCACCCTCCTCTCTCCTCCACACGCATATGCTCTTGTCCGTAGAGCCACTCACCACCAAGTTACCACCCACGGCCAAGCACAACACCGCCAGTTTGTGACCCCTAATCACACCACCATGAGAGAGAAAATGTTTCTTACGTTCCCAGAAATTCACCAGTCCGGCTGATGACCCGGCGTACACTACCCCCGCCGCCGCGCTCACCGCCACCGCCGTCACAGCGTTTTTTTGCTCCATCAATGTCTGTACAAGAACATGCCTCGTTGCCTTTCTCACCAATTCTCTCCTCCAAACCTTCACTGTTCCATCGGCTGAGCCAGTGAAAATCAACCCGTCAAAGCCCACAACTACTGAATTTACAGCATCATCGTGAACATTAATGGACTCCAAGCACTTGGAATCTGAGAGTCTCCACACTTTTAGGGTTCTATCCCAAGAACCCGAGTAAAGAAACCCTTGATCTTCGTCCAAGCTCATGCATGAGACTGCATCGAAATGTTTAATCCATGGAACGTTACGTCGTCTTCTCACTTCCACGTAGTTCTTCGGATGCATGGAACTTTTCAGATAGTCTCTGGTGGTCGGTAAATTACCAACCCTTTTGTATGCTTTCCGATTATTCTTTGCCGATAGTTTCCATACTCGAATCTTGCCGTCTTGATGGCCGGTGAATATCTTGTCTCCGGAAATTACGATGGCTTTGACCAACCCACTGCCGGATTTGAACCCAGAAAACTCCTTCAAATTCTTCCACACCCTTATGTTCTTGCTCTCCGATCCGGTGTACAACAAGTCGCCGGAGGCGGCCAAAGAATATATATGGCCTTCTTTGCGAACAAGAGAGCCGATAAGGCCATGTTTTCCAAAGTTATCATCATAATCATATGGATACACCTCCATGGAAGAAGCTCGAGTCGTCCATGGGGATTTCACATAAGGCGAGGGTCGATTCCACGGCGACAGGAAATAGGGAGAAGCGTTGCCGCTATTGGGTTGCGACTTATCCTGGCGCCGCCGGCTTTGAATGCCACGGTAGGTATCAGTTTTCTGTTTGTCTTTATCACTCAAAATGGTTTCATCGGAATACAAAAGGGTACCAAGTTTTTGTCGCCGGAAAACTTTTTTCTCTTCCAACACCCTTCCATTTTCGCCTCTCGCGTTTGTCATATTTATAAAAATAGCAAGAAAAAACACGAACTTGGATGATATGAAAACTGAAAAACTATAATATACGTGATTTTCAGAGAAGGATATGATATATATATAAACTGTGATGTAATTAAAGAGTTTTTGTTAATGTGAAAAACAAGAACTTGGGTGATATGTAAAATTGGAGAGAGACTGTAATGTAAGTGATATTCAGAGAATGGGGTGGGTTATGGAGATCAATGTATGAAGGGTTTGGAAGAGGAAGAGGGGTATATATCAATGGGAGGTGGACAGAAAGGGGGGAGAGAGAGACACGTGTGGGGGTCGATACGTGAGCGTTACGAATGAGCAGAAGTGTATCTGTGAGGCTCCGGGAGACCGGCTGTGCCGGTGAGGAGGGAGATGACTAGGTGGACAGAGCTTGCAGTCTATAGAGGATGTGTTTTGACATGTTTTTTCCTATTTGAGGATGAGTGCGTTGACCTTTGACTTTTCTTATGAAAATTTCAATCTATTTTCGATTACAAGTTTGTAGTTTGATTGTTTCTTTCTACACATTATCACAACTCATCGTGACAAAATTCAGCATCAACAATATTTTATATTTTAAACAATAACATTTTTAATTAAATAATTTAAAATTTAAGTTACTAGAGAAAAAAAAAAGAAGAGAATAGTAGACGAGAAAAAAAAAAAAAAAAAAAGAGGTACGTGTGAATTTGTGAGGTTGTCTATTATTAAGGAATTGAATTACTGTTTTTGAAAGAAAAAATTAGAATGAATTTTGTATGATACGGTCAAAATATATAATAATTAAATCAAGCTTGACTCTTATTATATTTGTATAGAATAAGAATTCAATTTTTTAATTGTAATATTAGATAAATTTATTATTAATTAGTGATCGTATGCATCCACGTTATTATGGTATATCACAGTTGTAGTTAAGGGTGTTAAAATATGATAGGATTTGTTAACATAATACAAAATTAAAGGATTTAAATCTTCTTTAAGTCACATGTTTCATAAACGAGAACATTACTAATAAATGAATTAAGTTTTAATAAAATTAATTAAAAATAATACACGATTTAATTTATTTCTATATTAATTATACACGATATATGAATCCGATATAATATGATTCGTTAGACCTAAATTAATAAATAAATAAAATATTTTTTAATACCAACTCACTAAGGTACAATAAGATTGATAGGCCTAATTGGACAAAAATCTGGTCACGCCAAGGACAAGTGCCTGTTTCAAATAGTTTGTTAAACCGTAGTAAAGACCAAACCCCGCGGCGTCATGTCTCACAACATCCGCAATTTTCGTTTAACATATGATTTGAAACGAGAAAACTTCAACGGTCCATAATTGCACGACACGNAAAAAAAAAAAAAAAAAAAGAGGTACGTGTGAATTAGTGAGGTTGTCTATTATTAAGGAATTGAATTACTGCTTTTGAAAGAAAAAATTAGAATGAATTTTGTATGATACGGTCAAAATATATAATAATTAAATCAAGCTTGACTATTATTATATTTGTATAGAATAAGAATTCAAATTTTTAATTGTAATATTAGATAAATTTATTATTAATTAGTGATCGTATGCATCCACGTTATTATGGTATATCACAGTTGTAGTTAAGGGTGTTAAAATATGATAGGATTTGTTAACATAATACAAAATTAAAGGATTTAAATCTTCTTTAAGTCACATGTTTCATAAACGAGAACATTACTAATAAATGAATTAAGTTTTAATAAAATTAATTAAAAATAATACACGATTTAATTTATTTCTATATTAATTATACACGATATATGAATCCGATATAATATGATTCGTTAGACCTAAATTAATAAATAAATAAAATATTTTTTAATACCAACTCACTAAGGTACAATAAGATTGATAGGCCTAATTGGACAAAAATCTGGTCACGCCAAGGACAAGTGCCTGTTTCAAATAGTTTGTTAAACCGTAGTAAAGACCAAACCCCGCGGCGTCATGTCTCACAACATCCGCAATTTTCGTTTAACATTTGATTTGAAACGAGGAAACTTCAACGGTCCATAATTGCACGACACGTAGTAAACGAAAAAAATATTTTCCATAACGAGTTACAAGAGAGATTTCCTGCAACAAATTAAGATAGCGCCTTTTTACGGGCGAACCTGCAACAACCACAAGGTCAAAAATATGGGGTCCGATGAACACTCGGTTTATCCCCTTCGAAACTTAAGTCAATATTAGATTGGAGGCTTGCACAATGTTTATTTATCTTAGTTTAGTGTTGAGTACCTTTGTTCATTTTTTTGAGAAATATTTATACCTGAAATAACAATAAATGCAAAAATTTTAAGTCTCATCTGAACATTCAATGCCTGACACTCTTACCTATGAAGATCTGAATGTTTTCCACCCAAATCTTCATATATTTAATGTTAGGATAATAGAACAAATGTTTGGGGAAACACCGAGCACTTATGGCAATNGTAATATATTTGGAAATGTCAGTTGATCCCTTATTAACATTGTTTTGGACACAACTTGTACATTCTAAAATAACTGTTACTCGGATATTTTTATACTTTGCCATGAACCTGATCTTTTGGATTTTTGATATAATATAAGATCTAGCAATCCTTAACACAATCAACCAATAGAAAATCGACATAGAACTATTGAGCATGAGTTTTGGTCTTCATTATTTGAGTTATAATTGAGTGAGTTGGTCTNACACCTACTATTGAGCGTTCAATACTCAGAAAAATGATACCTCGGGGCGTACTGAGGAGGCATTCTTGGCATATCAGCCATTAATGTCTAGTCATCATAACTGCAGGATTAGGCTTTTGAAGGCGTAGGGGCTCATTGATGACACTGTCTCCATCACTCACATCGTCATAAATGAGTAGTCAAGTCGCATTAAATGCAGGTGTCAGCTTGTGTACTCGGCTCCTCTGAGCCGTCATCTCTCGGCTCCACTCCTTAACGTCCTTTGGACTCCATAATGACTAAAATTTTACACATGTTGATCTGGGGATTGCTGAGTTGCCTAGAGTCCCGCCAACTGCCCCCAGCCTCAGTTCTTTTGGTAGCGTTAGACAGGTGACACAAGGAGATTGGAGGCTTACCGAACATGCCTCATTAATAGGGACGGTTACTTGCACATTTGGTGCCACACTTTTCAAATCCCTTAATGATGACCTGCCTTTTCGATTTTTGTCCCCTTCAATCTTTTTTATCATACAAGGGACGTAGAAAGTGTAGACATGATGCCTTTTTGGACAAAAGCCATCATGGAAGGGGGTTGACTTTTTTCCTTCACCCCCTGTTACTAAAGATGTTGGTGCAGCTGAGGCTATTTCCTCTACAGTGTGGTGTGAATTTTTTTTAGGATAGTGATGGGCGTGGTTGCCCTGAACGCTCGACTAGAGGTGAACCTGGAGGTAGATGAAATTCTGTTTTGTTGCGACTTAAGACTAGTCGAAGGGGACAGGTACTATCTCTAGGCCCAAGACACTTCAATGTACTTGGAGACCCACATGCCTGACTCGGACAAGGGATATGTGGACAATTTAATCACACTCGGCGGGAGTTGGGAGAAAGGAGACGGGCCCAAGTATGATGGATTGTACTGCCCCAAAAGGCCGAGGGATGAAAGTGTGTTTTGCACATACCCTAAAATTTGTTTGGCACCTTTTCATCATCATTACTAACCTTGATTGTTTACTTTTGTAGAGGGTTATCGGTGTGACACTGCTCAACCTTTATAGTCCGAAGTCAGATTCGAGCACTTGCTGAAAGTTTGGTCTTCCAGCTAAGCTAAACCCAACTCTCGGGCAGCACACATCTTACTCGGCTACCAGCCAACATACAACTGCTTCTCCCAAGTCCCCCCGTCGTTCGACCCTTCACTCTGGGAGGATCAATCTTCCTCGGGAGAAGAAGTGGAGAATCTTGAGGAAGACACTGACTGTGACTCCAAGCATACCTTTTCCCCAACCGAGCACACTGTTTCCCCCTGAAGATATGTTCAATCCACCACCACTTACTGTCGCAACCATAGAGGCAGCCACCGCGGAGAGAATAGTAAGGCTCTCGGGGCTCGCAGGGCCTTCAAATGCAGCCCCGATCATCCCGCTGCCTATTTCACCGCAGAGACAACCACCCTCTCTACCGCCACGTCCTCAACCGTCCGGGGACCTTGTCATCCAGCCGCGGGAACAGGCTCCAAGCCACCAAGTCCCCCCTTGGGTAATCAGCAAAGGGATCGAAGAGGTCGGGAGTCTGAGGGATCAGAAGAGAGTCGGGTAAAGCACTGTCAGGATGCCCTAGCCCCAGTTGTCTCTACCAAATGAGGTCCCCGAGTAGAAACCAAGAGAGGACGCCCTGTGTTGAAGGCAGATTCGATCTTTCAGTTCCTAGACGTTGCCTTTACCACCTCAGGGACTTTCCAGTTCGAGGGTGACATGGCCTTTTACCGAGGCTATGGGAACAACCAGCTTCTCCAAAGTGTCATCCAGAACAACATAGTGGTGAGTGCATTGTCTACCCCACCTCCTTTTTTTTTTTTGCCTACCTTGCCATTTCTAACTTAAATTTTTTTCATTTTCAAGTTTGCTAGCACATGGGTCCATCATTGAACATTTTTGGGAGCACAAGCAGGTGGCGAGGAACATTGAGCAGGCCCTAACTGGCAAGGATGAACACTTCAAGGGGTGGAGAAGATGCTCGTCGACCAGAACCGGCACATCATCAAGCTCATCCGCCAATGCGATACCCTTACTGTTGACCTAGAAAAGGCGAAGGCGANACCCTCTCTACCGCCACGTCCTCAACCGTCCGGGGACCTTGTCATCCAGCCGCGGGAACAGGCTCCAAGCCACCAAGTCCCCCCTTGGGTAATCAGCAAAGGGATCGAAGAGGTCGGGAGTCTGAGGGATCAGAAGAGAGTCGGGTAAAGCACTGTCAGGATGCCCTAGCCCCAGTTGTCTCTACCAAATGAGGTCCCCGAGTAGAAACCAAGAGAGGACGCCCTGTGTTGAAGGCAGATTCGATCTTTCAGTTCCTAGACGTTGCCTTTACCACCTCAGGGACTTTCCAGTTCGAGGGTGACATGGCCTTTTACCGAGGCTATGGGAACAACCAGCTTCTCCAAAGTGTCATCCAGAACAACATAGTGGTGAGTGCATTGTCTACC